CCACCTGCAGCCCAAGACCTATACCTAAAGTCTAAATCAGGTGAATCAGACTATTAGTGGCTAATGTAGCCTGAAGCTCCTAACCTCAGAGCAGGTCGGATGGATGAGTCACTGAGGTCTCCACAACTTTTCAGATGTGTAGTCTTGCAGCTTGTTCAACACTAATTTAAATATTTTTGCATATAAAGACTCCTTTTGTATAAACTTGGCGTTGGAGTCCTCCTTTGATTTCTTGTAATCATGTTTAAAAATATTTTTAACCCTCGCATGCCCATTGGTCAACATCCCAGAATATCTTCCTGTTATAAGGCTTCACTAGGCCTAGCTGGCTACCAGCTCAGTAAGTCGGTCCAAAGTTGCTGAACCGGACACCGGAGGTCCAATCACAAGCATGGACAGGTGTAGAGAACAAACTACAGTCTCAATCTAGTGTGAACAATTTAAACATATGAGACGGAGTAAAAGCGAAGCAGGAAGGATCAGCTGACTGTAAACCCACGAGTTAATGAGCTTATCAGCATCGCTGCCCCGTCGTTAAGGCACGAGCAGTCTGCGTAGCACGTAAAGAAGTGATATTAAAACATAATTCAAACCAGGAAGTGGACTTACTGCAAATCTTATGAGGTCAGCGAGTGCAAGGCTTTAGAGCTTTATTCAGTCGTGCTCTACAACCGCATAAAGAGCAGGAACATTACATTTACAGTTCTCACAGTGAACAAGTAAAACAAAAATAAAGGGAGGAAGACTGACCAGAAATCTGACCACTGAGAATCTCTAACGCTCATATCTTGTCCTCCTCAGAAACCCTCTCACTGTCCACACACAGGACTGGTCAGTAGGACCATACTGCTGATCTGTTGTCTTGAACACAACCTGCTCCTGTGCAGGTGTTTCTAATCCTGTAGCCATAAAAACAACCTGCAGCTCACATGGTTACCCACAATCCTGCTCACCGAGGTATTCACTATGTCTGTATATAGTCCCATAAAGCTTTTTCTCTGGTAAGACATCTTGGATCTAACATCTTTTTATCATCTTGAAAAACTAAAGTACAGCTTGTTGCACAACCTGCATTTGCCATAATGGACCCACCACTGGGTCCAGCCGAGCTGAAGTGGATAATGGTGCTTAAAAAACATTTTTAAAAGGTATGAAAGAGGAGCTTCTCAGCATCTTGGACGCATCAGTTATTTGGAGCTGAGTATCAGTTCATCTTTTAATAAAACACACACATACGTGGATGTTTTCATGACTCTGGTGCTCCTTCACTGTTTTATCTGGAAACAGAGGGGCTGAAACAGAACACCTTCCTGCTAATGCACTTTTCCCTTCCTGATAAATAAATTCTCCTGCAGCAGCTCGTGGCGAGCAAACATATTAAGAGCAACAATAGCTGAAGACTGAGCATGTTTTGTTTGGTTATTGCTCCTGTGAAGTTCAGTGGAAGGAAAAAGGGGCTCTCAGTGCATTAGTTCCAAGGCTGCCCCTGTATTGATTTTCCCATAGGACACTCGAGATGAGATTCTGGTCCTAATTGGAGTTTCATAGCAGAGACCCTTGATGAGTTATTCATTCGGAGACACTTCACCATCAACCATATGGTTCTTATTCAGGCCATGTTCAAGGAAGTGCTGCATCTTCTAATGTACTTAGGACATCTGCCCAAAGTCTGTTGTTTTGCTTCAAGAGCTGTGAGCTCTTTAGCACTGATGGTATTTTTATGCAGAAGCGATGCCGGCTCTGCGTATGTACGCTTTGAATTCATTTCCCTGGATTGTCGTTTCGTCTGGTTGTTCCTCCAGGCTGCGCTCTGCTGTCATTTTGCAGAAACGCCTCCCGTAACTCTTGTGTCTTTGACAGTTTGACATTTATTTTTGCTGGTTGTTTTCTTCTTTGGCTTTTTTTTTGTATGTAATTTGGTTTTGAAGTCAGAGTTTTTTGACCGATGAGTTTGTCGCACGTGCAGCAACCTGTGCTTCCATCACGTCACTCCTCAGGGCAAATATTCAAACTAAAGGAAACTCAGGTCACGTTGGGAATAAACTAAATAAATGACCGAATGAGATGTTTTTTTGCTGCCTCTCTGAACTTACTGCACCTCTGAGCACGTTGTCTGTAGAAACATCTTTATTCATGTAAAGAAAAACATGAAATTCAAGCACCAGGAGATAATTCAGAACATAAAGGAATCTAACATTTTAGTTGTTTTTTGTTTTTACACTAAAACCCTCATTATCATTTATGTTTTAATTGGCGGGGAAAAATGCATAAGTTCTAAATATGGAGGGGGACGTATCCCCACATGTAGGAGGAAATAAAAAAACAACAGGTTTAGAGCTGAGTTTAGGTACAATGGACTGTTTTCTAATTTTAAACTGATCTAAATATTACTGATGTGCTGTGACTCATCTCCACTCTGTAGGTTTGATGCCATTAAAAGCGCAGCAATTTAAACGTTCACATTTTTGTATTAGCTGCAACTTGTCTGTGAACTAACCCATTAAAAACATTCACTCAACAGTTATTGTCCCCTGGATTATATACTCCTACGAGAAGACAATATAAATGATTGCATTGCTTCGGTGAAGCAGCTCCTCCTCGTCTTCTCTCAGCTTCCTACATCCAACCACCTGCCAGACTTGTGGATAAATGAAAGTGTAAAGCACAGGGGAGAAAAGAAGATGATGTATATATAAAGGAGAGAAAAGAAAAAAAAAGAAGAAACACGGCGGCGATCAATATTCAGCCTTATTTTTTCATTGTAATTGTCTCGGCACTGAAACAATAATGAGCCGCGAGGATACTTTGCATATCAATTTTAGGCAGTTAACACAAATACCGCGGACGATGTGCAGCCCCGATCGGCCTTTGTGAAGGAGCGTGCTGTCAATCTGATTGGCCACGGCGCAGATCGCTCGGCTGAAGCAGTTTTTGATAAAGTCCCAGGAGACGAGCTGATTGGATCTGCTGGAACACTTGGTTTGGCGTCATTCTCGGTTGATGTTTCTGGACGAAGCCTTGAAATCCATTAAGCTGTAACAGCATTACCATTCATCCCAGACGAGGGGAGGCTGCGCTGCTCCCGCCAGACGACCGCACGAGTCTTTTTATTGCCACATGTGGCCATCAGCGCTGGGCTGGTCAATCAGACAGCCGCATTGGGGGGGACAAAAGTCTCCTTTCACACTTGGACAGCCGCAGGCCACCGAAAAAAAGTCTAGATTCAATTACAGAGATAGCATCTGCAAACACATACAGACACACAAAACTAAACTCCCATAACAAACACATGCACAAACATGTACACACGCAGACACACACACATACAAATGAAAGGCAATGAAATGGCTGCAAACCCTTCAATTCCAGACAGAAATCAATTTCCAACTTGGAACTTGTTGAGGAGAGACACTAATCGGCCGGCAGATAAGGGCTTGTTTGCTCCTGATAAGACAAGCGGCCGCGACACATGTCCCATAAATTGAGATTTGCCAGATTTGCCTTTGGGGTTGTTCAGGGAAAGGTTGGCTGAAGGATGAGGAGTTGGAGGAAGGGCGCGATATCTGAGTGCTGATTTCAATGCTTAAAGGACCAGACTCTTAAAGAAGAGGAACAGCTCCTGCTTCAAGTGCACCGCCGTGTGTGTGTGTGTGTGTGTGTGTGTGTGTGTGTGTGTCTTAAAATGAAAAATCTGCTGTTCCAAACACGAGGATGTACCGAAAAATCTGTGCAATTGATGTGACAAGAGCCCAGATTCCTCTCCACTGGCGGCGGAGAGCATAAAACCCGTGACCCCGTGACAGGAAGAAAAATCTCTGCACTCACGTCAATGATAGTCCACTGCTCCACTACGATGGCGTCGTACGTCGGGGTGGCTGCGTTCGGCTCGCCCTCGCTCGCCTCCTGGAAGATGAAGACACTTTCCACCGACTTAGGCAGCAAATCTGCAAAGGAGGGAAAAAAAATCCAAGCGTGAAAAGAGTATTTACTGGATGGAGCGTGTCTGTCTTGTCTCTCCTGCTCCTCCAGAGCCTCCAGGCCCGAGGAAATGGAATGATATCACTCAGCCACATTCACACACAAGCCTTTATTACATCGCCAGTGGTGTGGGCCATTTGTATGAGCAATGGGCACTTATACATTATGCAAGGAGACAGTGTGAAAGGAAGGAGCAGGTATTCCCCTTCTGGGATGTTAAAAAAAGCAGAGGAGACATTATGAGCTACATCAGGACCCAGAGCACTGCTGGTGTTCACGCTCGACAGCTAAACAGAGGCTAATTACAGCTAGGAAGCAAGGAGAATGCAGGAGCTGATAGGATTTAGAACCAGCAGTGCTCCGCGTCTCGAGCAGATCACGACCAAGAACCGAGGCTTTAAAAGAGACGGACGCGTTTTAGCGATGGCAGAACGTGGCCACTGATTTAATGAAGCCGGACCGTAAGGCACACGGCATAAATCCTTTTGCTAAGCCTGCATTATTCACCTTAAAAAGACTTGAATTGAGTGAGCCACATAAAGACATTGATGCTTAAGGCCAAGAGTGAGACTGTGCTGCTGCTGCTGCTGCTGCTGACCAAATAGATTTTCTAAGCTCCTCTTGGGTTGGGGGCTAACAATCACAGGAATGGAATCCCAGACAGAACCACCGCTCCGGCCCTCATGAGCCAGGACCCCTCTACACCCCACGTCTCTTGTTATTCATTTGATGCACATGCACATTACATGCAGGCGCGCACACACAAACACACACTTGGACACAATGCGTGCCCCGTGGTCCGGTCTTCCCAGCTGGCCTGAGTGCTTTCTCATTACTCCCACACCATTTACACGCTAATACAGTTTGCCGGGGCCCAGGCACCAATACAAGACACTCCACATTTCATTACTGGGCCCTAATAATAGGGGGATGAGAGGTGGCGGGAGAGCCCGTGGAGGAGGGAGGGAGTAAGCAAGACACTGGGAGAGATAGAGTGGAGGATGACAGGCTCTTTTATTTCCCACTCCCTGAAAATCCATTTAGGACCCGAGCACGCTCAATTGAAGACATCTCTCAGACGTCCACTGGCTCTCTCAAATACAGACATTGTCCTTGTTCACCCCGTCCTGCCCCCTTCGCCTTTTCTCTTCCACTGCTCCCTCTGTCGCCCCCTTCCTCCCCCAGTCCCAGCTCCCCCTCCACCCCATTCGTCAGCCCTCCCTGCTCGGCACGTAATTGGAAAGAAACCGTTTTGGAAAGTGTGAGGCGCCGAGGCCCGCCGTCGGTTCCCCGCCAGCGCAACAGGGATCACTCAGGTGAGATCGACACAGGGTTTCTGTCTCGTCGCTCTACAGGGAGCGAGCCTGTCTCTGGTGATAACGCAGGCAGACTCTCAGCAGAGGAGAAAAAGAGCGAGAACCAGGGAAGTGGAAGAGAAGGAGCTTGTTGCTGGGGGCGTTGAGTCCGCCAGGGGAATGCACTGGTTGCGTGCACGAATAAACATTATCTTGCGCCTATTGACTGAGAGCTGAGCTGAGCAGCCAGCGGGCCGACTGAGAATAAGTTGTTTACACTTGCAAAAACCACCGTGCGCCTTCAGTAAAATTGTTCTCCAGCCCCCTCTGACTAACACACTCAAGGTCGCAGGGTGAGGCATGCAAACACAGTTGCAGTGAAAACAGGGAGTGACAGTGTGGGGATTAAAAGACACAGAAGCGAATGGCGGGGGAGAATCAGATAGCTGGAGTGGCAGGGTGACAGCCGGTGACACGCAGCAGCTCAAATCAGCACCGAAATGACACAGGAGAGGATAAACAACAGGGGTGTGCACGGGCTGAAGCCTAAAGTGTCGAGCTTGTCGTGTTTGTGTGTTTGCATGTAGGTGTGAAGTCTTTGACTGCACACATCAAATCAGTTCTGAAGCTGCTTGTTCCAAACATTTGTCGACATGCACAAAAAACCTGCTGCTGTACATTGATTTGCAGCACACCGTGTTTTAAATGAGAACCCTTAAAGTTGTTTTGAATGAAGTTGTGTGCAGAATCAGGTGTGGCTACGACGAGGCTATCCAGCAAACACTGACAGGTTTAGACCGCCGCTTTCTGTACACCAACCTTAGACACACTAAAATGAAAGGTTTTGCATTTTACATGTTTAATTTTTATTATTTTTTTGGCCATCAGCAATCAGCAAGACATATTGTTATTTTGCCAATTTTCAAGACAAAATATATAGAGATTGAAAAAATGGTGAATGATTTTCTTCTTTTCACTGAAAAAAATCTACATGTTTACAAATTTACATGTTCACCAGACAAAAAACAACAAAACTGTCCATGTCAAAAATCTATATATTTTTTTACAAATAGCATTTTTTTTCTTTTACAATGAGTGACCATAAAGTTATAGTTTTACTATATTTAAATCGTCTATGATTATTTTTATTTTACAGATACCTGCTGCCCTTTTTTACTGTGTTCGTACATCACAGTATTTTACCATATTTTAACATGTTTTTTTTTATTCTAGACCCCTTGCTGCCAAATTATCAGTTATTTTAAGGATTTTTTTTATTATTTTTTTTTACTCTCTTGCTTTTGTGCATTTTGTTTGTTCATTGCATGAATTACACAACTCAGGAAAAATTTCAAGCAAAAATCTATTTGTGCTACACTGAAATAGGATGCAAAAATGAAAGAGACATGTTGTGACCCAGTGGTAATAGAGGTGTCAGCTGGCCACCTCCATAAAACCTGTCGGCTCCACCACATGAACATATTTCTCTTAATAGCCACAAACATATTTTTGGCATGTTTATTTTAACCATTATACTGCATCACATATCTGGTACTTGTCACAAACCAAACAGTAGGAACTTCAGCATGTTGTGGTGATCTGCAGATGGACCACCTGTCCTGGTGGACGAGCACCAGCAGCACGGATCCACCACGTTGATGTACGGAAGTTAGCGGCTAATGAGGCTAATGAGGTAGCTACACATATATATCTGAGCGCGATGTGGAAGCTGTAATTTAGAACAATGGTATCCATTACTTTGATTAATGTAGAGGTGACCAGCTGCACTGTACTCAGCTGGACGGAAACAAATCGCTTTTGTACCATTTCGTATGCTAATCGCGATTAGCATGCTAGCAATATTAGCATAGCAGCCTATGTTTGGTAATGGACGTTGCTAATGTTGTTTGCTAACCTAGAGCTAAAATGAACTTGACATTGCAATAGCAAAAGAGCTTTGGGATTGGTAAAGTGAGGCTAATGATGTAGCTGTACAGATATAGCTGAGAGCTATGTGAAAGCTGTAATGCTAATTCAGAACAATGGTATCCATTACTCTGATTAATGTAGAGGTTACCAGCTGTGACCGACTGCACTGCACTCCGCTGGACGTAAATAAATCGCTTTTGCACCATTTCTTGTGCTAATCACGATTAGCGCATTAGCATGCTAGCAAGGTTAGCATCGCAGCCTATGTTTGGTAATGGACGTTGCTAATGTTAGCTAACCTAGAGCTAAAATGAACTTGAAATTCAATAGCAGAAGAGCTTTAGGATTAGTAAAGCGGCTGAAAAAACTGTCTTTGTAATTTGTTGGAGTAAATAATATTGTAGGTTCTTAAGTAAATTTAAGTTTGTCAGGCTAATTTGTACTGTATGTAATATTGTGGGGCTATATTAATAACAGTGACTTGACTTTATAGGGAGAAGACATGGCCTGGGAACTGGTTTTGGATATTCTGCGAAGGCATAAGTGGCCTGTTGCCTCCAGACAGCCAGAGAAGCTCCCCACTGCCTCCCTACACTGATGTGTTGCAGATGACAACGCAGGGATTTTGTAAGTGATGAACCTTTGCTGGTTTATTTGGTAGCTTCTCCTGCTGACGGATGTGGATGTTGGTTTAAGGCCACTTCAGAACTGCATCGTTTAGTTTTCAGTTTAAACGCTGTATTTGGATTGCAGAGTGAGCGCGGGCCTCTTTCTAGGTGTTTTGAATTGATTGGGCAAATAAGCTAGAAAAGTTTCTGTAGCTGATTTAAACTGAGCAAATCAATGGAAACTTAAAGGAGTAGTTCAAAGAATATTGAAGGCATGTCAGGACTTGTGAGAAGTCGTCAGTTGAAAAGGCTTCATTTGAGATTTTTGCACACTATTTCATCTTTCTCTCTTAAACTGAGGAACTTTTTTCCCTCCTTCTGGCAGTAAGACTGAACACACACTGGAGATGCACGCTTACGACGGCTGTCCATCGATCTCTGTTTTAGACTGTAATCATTCAAACTTTCTTTTCATACCTGGAGCGTCAGAAATTTTTCTTGAACAATCTCCATTGCTGCGATTGCTCCGTTCTGAAGCAGATCAATCACTGCTAGTTTACGTAAGATGCATTGCTGCTGGTGCACCAGCGTGAGATTGCGACTGCAGATCTTTGATTTAAAAGGTGGCGTATTGCGAAATACCTGCAATTGACCTGGTGCTGATGGGCTTGATTAGCATTGTGTGGACTCATTTGACAAGTGCTTGAATGTAATGGAAACTCTTTGATGTAAAGGTCCTCATTTTAGCTCACATATACTATTACAATCTGGAGCTCAGACGTCTGATCAGTGAAGGCGTATGCTGTAGGTTTAAGGACTTGTAGTTGTGCCTACGTTGCTGCAACCCTGTCCAGACAGTGTACATCAGTTTCACTACGTGGTTTGGATGACACAGCAGGAAAACGCTCCGCTGTCTTCACAGATAGTCGTTGCCTTTCATGCAGAAAACAAGGTTAATGAGAGCTGTTGGAGTGTCGGGCCTGAGTAGTTTTGTAGAAACTTGATTTTTATTTTTAACAATCCGATTAATGCTAAGCTGTGTTGTTGCAGGACCAGACATACTTCCTTAAAAAAAATAAAAATACATTGCTTTTATCAAGCTGAATTCAATAAAGTGGTGTATTTTGTTATTTA